TCTAGAACTTATAGTATTATATTTCAGAACCTAGCGAATACAATAAAAAGCCAAATTATTATTTATATATGTATAAATCAACTTTCTTGTACTACACCGGTAGTAGGATTGTAACCGCACACTCTAAGTACAATTATTTCAATTGGCTGACTCTTATTAAAATAAATATACTCCATCATTCCAGCACTAGCTAGGTACATCATTCAGCGTTTTATTCCGGCAATCATGTTGTTGTGATTAGTGACACAACCAGACACAAGGAAATGGGTGTGCGAAGCGCGCTCGCTCATTGTAATTTACGTGCTTCACTGGATTTTCATGTGACATGGAACTTATACAACACGTGCATAATCTGATAATGGAAAAAATACGCACGCATGAAGTTAATCAATCGAGTTCAACTATCAAAATCGTGATGATAGACAGAACATATAATATTTCAAAAAATAAAAAAATAAATTTTACTAAATGTCTAATAAAATTTAGTAAAATTTTGTACATTCTGTTCTAAAAGGCTCTACTAATTAATAACATTTAAAATTTGAAAGCCATGTTAATAAGACCTCCTTACTCCGTAGTTATGTACCTACTTATTTCTCTTTGGATATGTTGTCGATGGTACTGTCAGCTTTTTCCAAGGATTGAAAAAAATAGTTTAAGGTTTTTTATTCCTATTTTTACTTAATTATTTTTTATAACATTGTGATTTTACCTATTTTTAATTATTTTTTACAACATTGTGTTTATATAGTTTACTCATTTATCTGTCACGCTATTGCAATGATATTGTAAACTTGATTCATGTTTTATTTCTTTCATTGATAATTTTGATCTGCGGAGATGGACCGCAAAAAACTTCGTTAGTATAATTTGCTTCTCCTAGTTAATGTTTATTTTAAGATTTTTTTTAACTAGGTGATAAGCATTTATCATATCTTCTTTAATAAATGTAAGTCTATATTTTTTAAAGAAAATAGACGTACGCTTCTACAATCTTCTATGATAATTGATGATTTCGATTGTTGTTATTAACTTTAGTTATAGTCTAACCTATACTGTCCTAGTGCTATGTATATGCCCCCTCTTACAACGAGGGCTTGGCCAGTAGTTCCCAATGCGGTTTGGGAACTTCAAACATATCATTAAATTGCATTGTAGATATGTACAGGTTTCTGTTTCACCGAAAACCTCATGGCGTATTTCAAATGAAATATCGCACATAAAAGCTGAAAATTCGAGAGGTTCAGTTTTGCTTGAGAGGTGATAAACCATTAGTCACTACACACAGTTATTTTTAGCCCAATGTCCTTGAAATTTACTAATGTTTTTTATGTCCCAGAATAGGACACAATAAAAATAAAAATAAAAGTCGTTTATTTTTAGACAACAAAGTCCATACCAATTAGTAAGTTAGTAACATGATACATCTTATAACCACAGCGCGTAAAGAACGGTTACAGTGTACTAGAACACTGTTGGCATTACTATCACGGAAGAAAAAAAAAACATTGTATTTATTGTTCTGTGTCAATGCCAAAAACAGAATAACATTTTATTCTGGAGGCTCAATTTCGTTATAATGAAATGATTTATAACATAATGATGCTTTATATCCATTATGTAACATGTAAACTAGATACGATTAGTGTTGGGTCATATTCATGTTTTTCCGAATATTTTTTCATAAAATTTCCACACTTGGTAGTTGACACATATCAAAAGTTGAAGATACTGAACGAAAACGCGCCATTATAAATATTTATACCTATGATTTTTTTTCGCTGTTGTCTAATAATTTTAAATCTCGTTTTACTCTAACTTGCATTTAGCTATCCAATTTTATTTTATAAACGTAGAACATAATATGAGTTTTCGATATATGTTTTTTCGTGTCTGATTTCTTTCCGAACAGGGGCCTTACCATGAACTCTTATTTCAGTTCAGTGTAGGTTTGTAACATCAAAAAAGCGGGATGGTGATATACACATCATGTAGCGCTGTCTCACTACGATTCATTTTAGGTCCTAAACTGAATCGTAATAAGAGTTGTTCGTGGTAAGGCCCCTGTAAACATGATACAGTAGCTGCGGGAATTCCCGAACCTGCGCGAGAATTTTCCAGAGACGCTTGATATATCTTTTGGCTCGTATCTAATTTGTAGGTACTTTACACAATTGCCATTATGTTCATTATGCTATAGTTACAAGAAAACTAATAAATATAAATTGAGCCTAACGGAGTTATGAAGTGTTATTAACTTAATGTTTTGTTTGTAGATTTAGTTCCTGTGCGGTTCAACCTGTGGGTGATGTTACTTACGAGCTGTTGGGTTGTTTATATGCTACGAGTCAACATGAGTCTTAATTTAATTGCTATGGTGCCACAGACGCGTAATAATTCATCGTAAGTTGCGCTAGACCATGGATCAATACCACGAGAGGACTGGTAATCTCCATAGTACAGATCGTATGTAATTCTGTAAGAGGTCAAATTTCCGTGTTATATCTAGATGGAGCTAATTAATTGCCTGTAGTAGTTTATGTTATGTAAATGTCAATCAAGATATCAATTAATTCAACTGCAATATGAAATATAAGCGTACTCACGTTTTTTCTTGTAATATTATTGAAATATTGACTACGAACTAACATTATTTACTGATCTTTGATAAATATGCATGTCAATAGATGGCATTGTGTGTTACAAACTAATTTATTCATTAATGCTTACTAGTATCGGTAGATGGCGCTAATCCTAATCAAAATGAAAGAATTGCTGGCAGTGTTCTTAAAAATCTGTGCAAGAAGCGCCATCCTTAACGTCATAGTATATTCAATAACATCATAATATTGTATCATTGAGATCCGGTGGTGGATACTTGGTGACCTATTATAGTACAGGTCCAACCCAGTTTAGGCACCAGTCTTCCACCTCTCGCAATTGAACTGTACGATGTTCCTAGTTTAATTATCCTGTAATATGTATTGTTAAGGTGGAAAAGAATAATAAATAAGTTTGTATTTGTATTGATTTGTTTATTATCAGTAGAAATTAGAGTAGTTGATAATGGTAGTTCGTCAGTTATCGCGACATCTGGTGTACCAATAGATACTAAATACCCGACTACGCTGTCTTGTACATACCTCAAATAGAAGTCCTCTTGAATTTATTGGTCCATGCCCTAGACTCACACAGTTTATGTTTATGATCATTGGTACGAGTATTGAAAATTCGAAATCGGAGATATTTATTGTACGAAAACCAATAATGTCGTTTTTTGAAAATTATGTCGTTACTTATAAAACATGAATGTTAGACAATACGTTGTTCTGAATCCAAAGAAAGTAACAAAAGCACTTGTGTTAAGGAAATCGGAAACAACGACGTTACTACTAACGACGACGTACCTAAAATTGTAGATCATATGCTAAAATCTTCAAATAATAATTTATCATTGTAAGGCTCATAGGAAGTGAAACTTTTTATTACCGACTTCAAAAAAAGGAGAGGTTCTCAATTCGACTATGTTTTTTTATGTATGTATGTTACGCGATAATTCCGGCCGAACGAGATTTGTGAACCAATTTTGATGATTCTTTTTTGTTGGAAAGAGGGTACCTCAGATGTGCTCCCATTTAAATTTAAAGGGAAAGTATTCCACCTCTAAGGGTGGCAAACTAGGGGATGAATGACTTTTGAGGTCGGTTTTTTAGTACTCTGTACTGAGATTATTATTTTCGGTTCTAAATTAAACACTGACTTACAGTTAACCGTGGGACCATGAGACGTGTAAAGGCCCTGAAACGTTGGTTTGTTTGTAAAAAAAACAAATTACGCGATTTAGATCCGAAAAATGGTTTAATTTCCTATGTGTAACTATTGACAAAACGCAAGAACTTGATTATGAGGCTCTTGTGGCACAAGTAACTAAAACTATAATATCTATTTTTTTTATTAGATCCCAATCTACGTGCGGTAGTACCCCAGAAAGTAACGAGGTACAGAATTACACTGCATCTCCTTCAAACGGCACAAATGTAACCGAGGCACCCAGACAGGTAATATAAATATTGATTAATATTGTTTAAAAAAATGTAAATCGTGTGATTAATTAAACAATAGGGTAGATATTATGTCCATCACAGTAATAGGTGCTTGTAAGTTAAATAGGTTCCTAGATCAAAGAATTTTCCTTCTTCCATTGTTTAGTTTTGATAAATAAGTAATAATGTAACAATAATACTTAGCCTATATACGTATAGTACCACTGCTGGACACGGGCCCCTCTCATATCGAGTGGGTTTGGGCTACAGTTTCATCGCTGGCCCTATACGGATTGAGACCTTCACACACATCATTAAATTGCAGATTTCCAGTGTACAGGTTTCCTTATGATGTTAGCTTTCGCCGAAAAGCTCATGATAATTTAATAATAATAATAACGCACACACTCAACAGCCCCGCCCCCGCACTAGGCAAACCCTGAGTCGCGGGTGCCATGGATACACACATAGACAACCACAAATTACACCCAAACTCGCGAAAGAAATAAATGTAGGCCATACAATCATTTCTCCCGGCCCGGGAATCGATCCCGGGACCTCTGCGTGGCAGTCCGGCATGGTAACCGTTCGGCCATGGAGGCAGTCAATAAGTTAACTGTTATAAGTTCATTTAAAATCAAATTTCGTACATAAATTCCGAAAACACAGCGAAGCGCAAGCCCGGATTCGAACCACGAACCATCTGCTTGAGAGCCGATAAGTCAAACCGTTAAGCTACCGCGGCTATAAATAAGTAGTTGAATTTTTTTTTATTAAGATTTTTGTAGATATTTGGGGATTAAAAGCATTAGAGCTCCTTGTGAAAGAATTCTTCCAGGGAAGTACTGCCACCTTACCTATTTCTACCGCCAAGCAGTAATGTGAACATTACTGCGTTCCGGTTTTGAAGGGTGAGGGTGCTGATGAAATTACAGGCACATGGGACTTTCAACTTATGTCTCAGGGTGATGCAGTGGCTGTGCCTCTCAGATATTTGAGATTTAAAGCTCTGAGTGGCACTGCAACCGTTATGGACAGGCGTGTCGTTTACCATCAGGCGCACGACTTGTTTTTCCCGTCACTTAGTATCATAAAAAAAGTTTACCTACATACGAACGTAACCGCTGTATACATATTACCGTAGATATTTGTACCACTTGATATTAAATAAGTAGCGAAGAAAAGGAAATATGAAATCACTGTATACTTGTAAATCAAAATAGCTTATGAAATATACTTGTATGTATGTACCTTGTAATGCAATGCAATTTTCCGGTAAGAGCATAAAGAATTCGTATTGAGTGTGTGTTACTGAGAAGGTATGCAGCTGTGTAGGTAGTTAGGTTTGAATTAATTCCCATAAACAAACTTTTTAAGATAATTTTCGTCTGGAGTGATATTTATATAGACACGTGAGGTGCACTATAAGTTTCCGTAATGAATAAGAAATAAATACTATAAATGGTCAGAAATGAATTTATTGTTTTTCAAAATATTCTCCGTTAGCGTTAATACAGTTTTCCATACTAATGGACAAATTTTGAAAACATTTGCGCCACACCTCCGTGACAATCTGTGAAACATATTTTTCATATTCTTCGACAGCCTCTTCAGGTGATGAAAATCGTTGACCGCGTAACTGGTTCTTAATTTTTGGAAATAAATAGAAGTCACAAGGTGCCAGGTTGGGACTGTACGCGGGATGGCTCATAAGGTCAACGTTGTTCACCTTCAAAAATTCATTTCGTCTTCTATCATTTGGCCATCATAATTATAACTCATAACTTTCTATGGAAGTGTAGCTTTTCGTGTAGAGTTTCCCCAATTATATTAAGACCTGAGTCTGTCTGGCCGTGTGAGAACTGGCATTATCGTGGTGCAAGATGATACGGCGTTTACGGTTATTTTTACGGAGTTTGTCAATAACTTCCGGCAAACAAATGGTCGTGTACCAATCACTATTCTAGGTATAACGATTCTCCAAAGCAACAGTAGCCACGCGTCCAGTTTTATTAAAAAAAAAAAGCAATCATCAGCTTAGAGGCACTTTGCACGGCTCATCTTGAAAGTCATCTTGAAAGACCCATACGCTCGATTGCTGCTTTGTTTTGGGATCGTAACTATAAATCCATGTTTCCTCACCCGTTACTATGTCCCACACCAAATTTGACGCCCCTTCGTTGAATCTGGTAAGCATGGGATTGCACCAAGTGACACGTTTGGTTTTTAGAGCCTCAGTCAAATTGAGTGGGATCTACCAAGCTTTTTCACACCCAAATGTTTGTGTAGTATTGATTGTATTTGACTCATGCCTATGCCTAAAGATGCCCGAATCTCATGGTATGTAACATTTTTGTACGCGTCCTATGTATAATCCATCTTTTCGGGCCCTTAAATAAAAATAAAATATTTAGAAAAACGTGTGTATACATATATAGAATGTTTGTAGTTAAATAAAAAAAAAATGATATTTAAATTAATAACTTTTTAAGCCGTGACTATGTGACCTGTAAAGGACACAAAACGTTGGTTTGTTTGAAAAAAAAGCAAACAAATGAAATTTCGATCCGAATATAAAAATAGTTTCATTACCGTTGTGTAACAACCGCGAAAAGCCAAGAATTCTATACTATATGGCGCTTTTCACTGAATATATTATAATAAAACTAAGATATTTGCAGTAGGTGACTTAAATACTCGATAGCATGAAGTACCTTTGACTATAATTGTCATACCAATAACATTTACAAAAGGTTCTCATTGTCTTCATGTTGACGTAAAGTAATTATTGGCAAATGGTTAAGTATTACTGCAAAAAAATACAGCTATTAATCTAAATATAAATGAACCTATCAGCGCAAAAATGGTGTAACCCACATTTTTTTTCTACAATATTACTGTACATGCGCTGTGCAGTGCCCCTCAGATCTTTGCGATTTAAAGCTCTGAGTGGCACTTCAACTGCGGACAGGCGTGTAGCTTACCTACTAACAGGCGCACGACTTGTTGTCGCGGCACTTGATACAATAAAAAAAGAAAAATATATAATTCCTTTTTATAAAATAATTACGTGCTTTAGTATCATTTAAAGTAATATTGAAAAAAAAAATTAAATGTGGGTTACACCACTTTTGCGCTGATAGCCTCCAATATTATTCGTCTACAATACAAACATGAGTCATTCATGTCACAAATAAACGCTCGTCTATATTGATTGTCAGGTTTTATGTAAAGAAAAAGATCCGGTTCTGATGGTAATAACGTTTCTGCGAATTCGAAAATATTCGCTAAAATTATTGACTATCCTTCCATTATTCCTCTTTTTGTTGGTTTTTAAAGTACCTATTGCTGTAACGTGTGAATATCTGACGTAAGCTTAAGATGGGAAGGATGGGATAAATAGGGTTTTGCGAGCGGTGTGTTTTCCATACAAAAACTCTCGTCGGTTTTCTCGTTGGTTTTGGGATTTGAGAGAAACATTGAATAAAGTATCACCCATATGTTTCTGTTTTCATTTTTTTTGTAACTGTTTTTCAAAGCACTCGTAACCCTTCAAAAACGTTAAAAATGACCTACTTTTAATCATAGCCAACAGACGTAGGCGTCTGCACAAATGTAACAAGTATATTAATAATTTATAATCTCAGTACAGAGTACTAAAAAACCGACCTTAAAAGTAATTCATCCCCTGGTTTGCCACGCTTAGAGGTGAATATTTTCTTCAAATTTAAATGAGATCAGTTCTGAGGTACCCTCTTTCCAATAAAAAATGAATCATCAAAATCAGTTCACAAACGACAGTCAGAGTTATCGCGTAACTATAAACAAAAAAAAACATTAAAATATAGGGTCCTGGTAAAACAACTTCTTATTCTACATACGAAATATCTTTTATATAGATCCAGTTTTTAGAAAAGGAAATCGTAGAGAGCCAGACTTCGAATTTTACCTTTTTTAATCGACTTTAAAAAAAGAGGAGGTTCTCAATTCGACTGTATTTTTTTGTATGTATGTTACACGATTATGTTGTTGGAAAAAGGGTACCTCAGTATTGGTCCCATTGAAATTCGAAGAAAATATTCCATCCCTAAGGGTGGCAAACTAGGGGATGAATCCGGTTTCGCGCACTTTCCGGTAATCGATTTCAATAAAACTTGGCAAATAGATGTAATTCCACGAACTTTTGAGGTCGGGTTTTTATTAAAAAGCAGGTACAGAGACAAAATTCAGTGGGAGTTGCAGTTGTCCTTATCGCACAGTATGTAGGAGAATAGCGATGACAATAGTTTTTTCAAATACCTATTTCTCAAATGGTTCTACGCTCTCGACAACCCTTAATGTCTTGTATTGTCCATACTTCGAGTGATATAAAGAGCTACCACCTCAACCAGGAGTGGTCGAATTTCTGTGCAAGTAACGGTGAGCCTACCGCGTCGCGCGCGTTCTTAAACTTAGATCAAACGTAAGTGCAGGTGCAACGGATTGTGCCATAACATTGCATAAGTCACGGTACAGTGTACAGTGTATTGTGATTAAGTATTTTATACACTATTGTTAATTGGACTGTGGCAAGGAATATTTTAAACTTGGAATAATTTCTTTTTGTAGGTGCCTGGTGGTGCATCGTTCGATTGGTCATCTGAACAACAAGCGCTGATCCTTGGCGCATATTTTTGGTGCTACCCCGTGACTTCGTTAGTGGGAGGCATGGCAGCCGAGCGCTGGGGACCGCGCTACGTGGTACTTATCACGTCATTCGCCAGCGCTGTTCTTACCATGCTGAGCCCCCCAGCTGCTAAACTGCACTACATAGCTCTCGTCGTAACACGATTTTTACTTGGATTTGCTGGGGTAAAGTATTGAATAATGAAAAATAACGAAAATGTTCCACCAATCCTAAGGAGTACATTACACATCGAGTATATAACCAGAAATAGAGACGAAATGTCATTGAATTTGTTCAAAACTACTCTGCCAAACCAAACTGCGCTCCGATTTTTCAGCCCGAATTCAGCCCGAATTCGAAACAATTGACGGGTATCGTCAATTGGTTCACTTCAACTTGACCATTGAACTTGAGCTTTGCTATAATGGACGAAAATTGAAAAATTACATAATTTAATATTTAATGACCATAGAAATGTGACTCGGTTAGTTTTGTAATTAGATGTTTTGCTGTTTTGCGACACCACCAAATGGAATTAGAGATATTATCTATATTACAATAAGTACAGAAGAATATTTTTGGAATACACGGAGACGTACACACAGGTCAGTTGTTGGCGTTGCACTATTTCAGCTTTCTAATTTGTGATTTCAGCGCAAACGAGAGTTGATATTTAAAAGTGATACCAATACCATCTGACCGATGAGTTCCCAGGGATGGATGGCCATTATTTCGTCTCTATTTCTGGTTATATACTCGATGACATTATATAAGCCTTAAAACTATTCTATCTATAAACAGTGTAATTGTGGTATAGTCATTGACTTACAAATAAATGGACGACGGGTCTAATACAAAAACCACGAAAAAAATGTCCCAAGTCAACCTATTCGAAATTTAAATTGTAATGTCATCGCAGTATCGCGCTGTCAGTCGCACAAATGAAGACTAAAGCGGAGTTTGGCGCTCTGTATACGATTTTAGCGTCTTACAAGTGCGGACACTTTTTAGCGCGGACCCGACGTCCATATAATTGTAAGTCAATGGGTATAGTTTACATAATTTAGTTCTCTTAACACATACATAGATGATTTTAAGAAAAAGAAATTGTTCTAATAGCGTTAGGTTCCTAAAGTTAAATTTTAAAACCTCAATCATCATGAACCCATTTATACGTCCCACACTGCTGGACATGGGTCGACGTACAGGTTTCGTTACGATATTTTCGTTCACCGAAAAGCTCATTGTAAATTTCAAATTACATTTCGCACATTCCGAGGAACTCGGAGGTGTTGGCCCGAATTCGAACCCACGACCTCTGCTTGAGAGGCGGTAGGTCAAACCATTAGGCTACCACACAGCTACACACTCAATACCAATTAACTCTCTAAAGACTGATGTCCGCTTGTACTAAACTTAAGTACATCTTAAACCTATTCTTGCAATGTATTTACATAGTGTTAAGAATGTCTTATCAATTTAGGCATTGGTTCTTCATTGGTTTAATAAGTTTAGTGCACGTGGACATTAATCTTTAAGTCTTACTGTAGATTAACTGATTATTTTTAGTAAAATCGTTCTATACGCACCCAATTAAGTCCATTATTACTCAAAAAACATTATTCATAAAATCATTCTAGATATAGTTCATTAGTAGATATTCTTCAGCATATAAATCTACTGATAAACGCTCAAAGTGCGTCTTCAATGGATTTAATGTTTAAAATGACAATAGTTTGTGTTTTTTTCGATTTAATGATAAGGACAAAATTAACCATATTAAAAGATCTGGTGGACTTCGAAAGAGAGTGTGGAGAGAATGGAGAACCTTAACTATTTCTGCTGCCAAGCAGTAAATGTGAGCATTACTGCGTCCTTGTTTGAAGGGTAAGGGTTATTTACCACCAGGTGTACAACTTGTTCGTCCCGTCATTTGGTATCATAAAAAAATGTATTTAACGCGGAGAAGTTCTCTTTGCGCTATAACCTACAAATCTAGGGTCGGCGGACTAAAGCACATAAGTTAAAATCCAACATCATTCATTTAAATTATACATGTACCGACTAAAGCACATGGGTCAAATTCATTTGTTACTTCATAAAGGAGAATGGGCAAAATGGACCTGGGAGCGGCCACTTCAAAAACTACTTTCAATCAATAGATATCATTAATACGATCAAAAAATATTATGGGCACCAATACGTAAGTCATCAAGTTTTCGAAATATCTTGAATAATGTTTATTTTTTAATGTAGATACTTAATATTTGAACTTCTGTCTGGAATTTTGTTTGTGTGGTGTGTATGTTAAAAATGATTACCCAAATGGTGTCTTAAGTTTAAAAGGGTTCTGTGAGCTGTGGAATTATGACACAATTTTGGAATCTGGTCCAGTATTTCTTGTTATAATATTTTTTAGGGAATATAAAAGATATGAAATAAAATAAAATATATTGTTTCAAAACTCATTTACTTCGTCTATTATCACTTCATCTAAATATGATGCTGGAAGATTAAGAGCTCCTTGGTGCCGTGCCCACCCTAAATACCATACAATCGACATGACGTGAGCACAGCAACCCAAGGTCCGTCTACCAGTAAGGCACGTACAGTAGTGTTGTATTATGCGCGCTCTTCCAACGCCTTCCCTATTTACTACTATATATACATAATATACTCGTGCTCTGGTGTGTCTTGATTGAATACGTCCTCTCAAAAGATAGCAATCTCCAGTTACATGCATTTGCGGAATATCTATAGATTCATCTTCCATAACTTCTATAAAGTACACTCCATCTCGTAAGTGCTCGCTACAATACGACCGAGCAAGCTTTATTTGATAACTACCTAAAGCAAACAGTATTAAATCTCTTTCTTCTAATTGTGGAAAATCATTTATAGTTAAATAATCAGCTGATATAGAAACAAAGCTCACACGGTGCCTATTTAAATTGTTATTAATGACGTAGTCGGCCAGTAAGTTGTCTACATTAATTTTCAAATGAATTTCATTTAATATATCATTTGCGTAAGGTCCATCGGTAAAAGGTTCCCGAAAAGCATTAAGAATGGCTGCGGCATTTTTAAAATCTTGGAACATGTGTGGTACGGCCCTATTAACATACTTCTGCCGTAACTATTTAAAATCTCTTTTAAAACGCCCGTTAATAGCTTCAATTACCCATCGACAAATTGTAACAAGCCGCGACTTGTTTGCTTGACTAGTTGAGAGCTGCGTTTCATTGTTTTGCTTTGACGCTGGCATATGAGCTGTGTAACCACAAGATTCAATAACTGGTAATGAATCCCTAAAACCCCCGTCCAAGATAAATACATCCCCTGCTTTAAAAAACCAATGAAATACCGAGTCTTCTGACATTAATTGTGTCATAATAGTTGAGTCAGATGTTGTTGCCGCAAAAGGTCCAACTACGTCAATTATGTATCCGTCACTACACGTAATAATAAATGGTTTTAGCAAGTTTTGAAACTTATGTAAGCTGTATGTAAGACGTTGGAATGAAAAATTAGAACTCTTTTGTATATAAATGTACGTGCCATCAAATATAAAGATTAATCTTCTATCTTCTTCAGATTCTGGATTCCCAAAAATAGCATTAGGTATTAAAAGGTTTCTCCTCTCTACTTCTCCTCTCGTAATATGGTCAATTCCGAGGTGACGCGTTACAAAATCGTTGCTTAAACATTCTCTTGATTGTTTTAATAAGCGCTCAAAGGTGCGTCGAGATATATTAAAAAGATCAGACAGTTTTGTATTTGACTCTCCCGTTCTTAGCTTACTAAGGTAGATGCCCAGAGCAACTTTAGGTCGTTTACACCTTTGAGTCAATAAAGGTGTCTCTTCTATAATTTGTTGAAACTGCGCCGGTGTAACTCCAGTCCAGAAAAATAATTCATCAGCATCAATATTTTCGATATTTTCGAAATTAAAATGTGCAGACTTTTGTAAAGATCTCTTAACCATTTCAAATACATCCGTGACTTGTTCTATGGTAAATGAATTTAATAAAATAGGCGAACTAATTAATATCTCCCAATGGTTTGATCGTATATGTTCTGGGCATATTCTAGCCTCGTCAGGTATGTATATATTGTGATCACAAAAAACTTTAGTTTTAATGCGATGTGGAATCCTCAAGTGCGTTTCTGATTCACATCCCGGAAACAAACAACGTGAAGCAGTGTTTGGCAGACGGTAATAATTAGGTATAGAAACAGGGACCTGATCTGTCGAGATTTCATCACGAGCCGATTCTTGTGGTTGGTTTCTTGATTGAGCACGTTCAGCTCTTTGCCAGCAAGGGCGACAGATGTAGTTTCTTCTATTTTCAAATATAGGATTAGGATCCACGCGGTCACCAATATAATCCATTAAAAATGGATTAGCATCAAGAACTTCTTGTGAGAGAGAATAACGTCTTCTGTTTCGAACTGAAACGTGACATGTAATGCAAGTTTCCATTTCAGTCACGCACACACCACTTTACTAAACAAGAATGTCCAAGATCAAGCCTAGTTGTTATCCAAGAATCAACACCGATACAAATCGTAAAGCAAAATCAGTAGTCCGGTAAACAGTAATCAAGGTCTTATGAGGATCAGCAAAGAATCGACAGCACAGAACAGTTGTTAGTGAAGCAAGTCAACAAACAACTAAACTAAGTTAATTAAACACGCATGCACCTGGATGCACGTGCACATAAGAGGGTAGGAGGGAGGGGGGGGGGCTAGTTTAGGTCCCGGCGGCATGACTCCACAAAGCATTGTTTTATTTTATAGAAATATCCAGTAGACAAAGGAATATTTGTCAAAAATGTAACACGTGTTCATTTATTACTTGGACAATTGTATTGGTCATAACTTTTTTTACACACAAAATACGACTCTGACTCCATACTAAGTATTGTTTGTCGTAACATAAAGAATTATAAAAACTATGTTTTTGAAGTGGCCGCTTCCAGGTCCAAGGCCCTTGTATTTTGCCCATTCTCCTTTGTAACTTTATTATAGAGGCGTCTTTTTCTAATTTATCATTCTCTTCACACATTGTAACACTATAAACAACACAAAAAAATATATAATTATATATTAACAAATGAAGCACTTTTTTGACTTGTGTGCTTTAGTCCGCCGACCTAGAAATATTTTCATACTTACATTACAACTGTTATACAGCGTTGCCGTTACGGAAACGTGTTACTTTATCGTAGCACAATAACAATAAGTTTGGCCTGATGTCATCATACCAGTAGAGAGCTAGCATAGATTACAGCCAAAGGTATAAAGAAGACGGCACTGCAACTTGTTTTCTGGTGTATATCTAATAAGCTTCAATAACAAATCTACGAGGGACTCACCTTTTTTATGATACTAAGTGACGGGACGAACAAGTCGTGAGCCTGGTGGTAAGCGACCCGCCTGTCCATAACAGTTGCAGGGCTCCTTGGAGCTTTAAATCACAAAGATCTGAGGGGTACTGCCACTGCACCTGTCACCCTGAGGTTGACAAGTCCCATGTGCCTGTCATTTCAAAACCGGAACGCAGCAGAGTATGCTCACATTACTGCTTGACAGCAGAAATAGGTAAGGTGGCAGTACTTCCCTAGACAAATACTTTCACAAGGAGCTCTAACTAGATTAAATATTCTAACTTTTTAAGTAACGATTCAAAAAAATGAGATGGTTCTCAATTCGACTCTTTCTTTTTTCCTTTTTTTTTGTATGTATGTTACGCGATAACTCCGTTTGTAAACCGATTTTGATGATTCTTTTATGGAAAGACGGTACCTGAGTAGTGGTCCCATTTAAATTTGAAGAAAATATTCCATGTCTAAGGGTGCCAAACTAGGGACAAGTCAAGTTTTTTGGATTATTAAATTTGGCGTATTAAATTCTATTAGATATCCTACAGTATATATTTAGATATATAGTTGTGGTCCTTAGGATGTTTTGGACTTACTTTAACTATTTTTTTAATGTAGATGTTAGTATTATCGAGTTCGATGGGCGTGTCTTAAAGGTATTGTTAAATCACTGTATTAATTGTTAAAATTGCATTTCAGGGATTCATATATCCGTCTCTTCATGTGTTAGTAGCGCGATGGGCTCCACCCGCTGAGAAGGGCAAATTTGTGAGCGCGATGATGGGAGGAACTTTGGGTACAGTAGTAACGTGGTCTCTTACAGGACCACTTATGGACAAGTTTGGGTGGGCCTCAGCATTTCACGTGCCTGGAGTACTGACTTTAATCTGGTGTGGTTTCTGGTGGTATCTTGTTGCTGATACGCCAGAAGATCATCCAAGAATCACAGAGGCGGAAAAAAAGTACATCTTAGAGGCGCTTGGAGATAACGTGAAAAAATCAAAGGTAAAAAAAAATACGATGTCATTGTCATCAACTTTATAGTCGTCATGTAAAATAAGTTCTTATAAAGAAAGCAAAGTAACACTGATAACGAGATAATATAATTATATATTATCTCGTTATGAGCGTTACTTTGCTAGTTTGTAGAATTCAAATATTAAAATAATCGTTTCAATCTTTTCAGGGACTTCCACCGTTTAAAGAGATTGTGACGTCTATTCCTTTTTTGGCAATGGTGGTCCTTCACTACGGGAATCTCTGGGGACTGTATTTCATTATGACAGTTGGTCCCAAATTCGTGTCCAGCGTATTGGGCTTTGAACTCTCTGCTGCTGGTGTAATATCAGCACTTCCTTATTTAGCAAGAATGTTCCTAGCTACTGTATTTGGTTTTATAGGAGATTGCATATTATCCAGAAAGTTGATGACGACTACCACCATAAGGAAATTTTTCTCTTTATTCTCACATATAATTCCTGGAGTTTTACTAGTTATGCTGGTATATACTGGCTGTTCTACAGGTCTGTCAGTATCACTGATCACTCTGTCCATGGGATTTAACGGAGCTGCTACCTTAACAAACCTGCAAAACCACCAAGACTTGGCTCCAAATTATGCTGGCACGTTGTATGGCATCGCCAACTTCGTAGGAAGCACAGCTGGTTTCTTTACGCCAATGATTACAGCGTACTTCACTAAAAACGGGGTAATTAAGTCATAAGTTCTTCTTGTAATTATCAAAATTGTTATCACAAGCGTAAAGTCTAAGCTTAAATTTAATTTACAGAATAGTTTCGAGCAATGGCGCCCAGTTTTCTTCGTTGGAGCATCTGTGTACATAGTTTCGGCGATCTTCTTTATTCTCTTCGGAACTGCTAATATACAGCTCTGGAATTTCCCAAAAGGCGACAAGGCTGACAGTAAAGACTTACATAGAAATGGTGATCTCAAAGATATAAGTAACGCGACAATTAAAAATGGTGACACCAAGGAGATTAAAGAGACACCTTTATCAGTCACTGCCTAGTTTTTAATGAAGAATTAGATTTTACGCTTTTAACATTTGAACGTTGTGGGCAAAGCTAACGAAGCATTGAATATTACGTACCTAAGAGGATGTGAAAATTTAAGTCTTAATGTATTGTAAGAATTGCAATATAATTTGCATGACTTTGTTTTCACTTGTGATGAAACAATTAAATTATGTTAAATAATTATAGATTAGGAAACCAAATATTATTACACGTACTTCAAAAATTGACTTATATGACTATAGTGACCTTTACAATCAATAATAGCAAATAATGGTGCATTTAAATAATTATTTTAATTAAGGTTTAATTTGTAAAACAGTACGGTCTACTAGAATTTTTTGACAATAATTGAAAAAATAACGAAAAGTAGCTATTGCAATTCATATGGCAATGTCAATTTGATATCTCCGATTTGACCGGTTAATACGATTGAATATTTTTGATACTTATGATTTTGATTATATACAATCCAAGCTACAACAGTTAGGTACAATGTAAGAAACCTACTGATCTCATAAGAAGCAATATGCAAATTCAAGAGTAATTAGAAATTACTTACAATAAACTTAAATCAATCAATAAAAGCAAAAATATTTTTATTTCATAGGTATGCAAATTAAACTTGTAATTGTCACACTGATACTTTTTTCTGAGAAGAAGGCTTAAAAAACTATATCTTTGTAAATAGACATGACTTGTCATTTATCATTTAAAATATTTATTTCAAATATCATACGAGATAGAAACAAAATGTAAAAGCTAAAGGAGGACTGACATGCATATTTTGTCATCCATTGCGCAAAAGATGTATAATATAACTTTTTGTTTCACGATAATTTTGAACCTCTTAAAAGGGGGAAAACATTAAAGAAACGTTTACATTAATTGACCATTAAATGAACTTGTGACTTTGTGAAGACGACTGTGAAGAACAGACCGTTTATTTTTAATCCTCATATTATAATACCTATAATAAGACTGTGAACTGGCAATTGGTACTATCTCAATTTTGACAACTTTACAGGTGAAGAAAAAAAATAGTTAAATAAAAATACGTAGTTTTTAAATATTTTTATTACATATAAACTGTATTATATGTATTTAGACAGCATTACTCAAAACAAAATGCCGTAGCCGTGAAACTGTAAATGTATCCATTATAAACCAATGTATAGGTTTCTACGTCTGAATATTTGTGGACCCAATTGCAATTTAGCATCTAAACCACTATATGTCTGTGATCTAAACTTTTACTTAAAAATACAACTGAACCTTCATGTCTTAATTTTTTGGTCCTAACTGTGATGTTTGTGATTGTTTTATTAATGCAAAACTATGTAAACAGCTGATTAAGCATAATTTTTTCCATTATTTGACTGACAGTCAAATAATGGAAAAAATTGAAATAGGTCAGTAATTGGTGGGATCTAAATTTAATAAGATTTAAAAACCACACCATCATCAACACATTTGTTGAGAGCTCAAATGCTAAATAAGACGCAATACCATCAAGTATAGAATTTATTACTTGGACGGAAAGACCATCAAGATCAGCAGTATTTTTTTCTCTTTTTTGTAACTTCTGTCTGTTTTTACAATTTTGTCATGAAATCAAATTTATCAAATTTAATTTATTATGAGGTTTGTTTTTTCCAGTTACGCTTTTTATGATGTTTCAAGTCGTCTTTACTACACCAGCGCTTTTTTTAATACACTTCCGGATACATAATTCGAGCCACCACGCATTTTTAGTATTAAGTGCCCTAAGCTTAAACAATGTTTGATTGATCAAAAACTATTATGCAATGTTGAAACTAGTATACTAAACGTCTTTTTCATAAGTCCCTGTTGAGAATTTGGATTTGCAAAACCGGGTAAAACTTTTTCTTCGATGATAACACTATTTTTGTATTCTAGCCCTTTACGACAAAAATGCGAAATGGCTCGGATTATGTGTCCGGGAGTAAGTTATTAGTAAGTATTGTTTTAGCAATACAAACACGTTGAAATATTTTCAATACTTTTTAACAAAATCATTAAAGTTGTCACTGGTCCGGGTCTTTTCGTCGTAATGCCTTTATCTATGTTATTAACGAATTCCCACGTATTTCCCAAGTGTAATGAAATTCTGGTAGACCAGATAATAAATGTTTTGAATTGAGTAATTGAAAATAATAACATCTGTAACTATTGATACTGTAAGGAAATCCAGGCATAGCATGCTGTGATCTTTATTACCAAAATTAATTATAGAAATAACTTACTACGTTTGTTTATAGTTATAATTAAATTGTTAATAATGCCACGCGAGAATTTCGATATACCCTTAATACATTTCTTATTTAAATTATCTATGTAATGTAAACGTACCTAAATAATTACGTAAACAAAATATTAACTTATTTTATAGTCTTAATTGACTGAACATGACTTCAATGTAATGATAACTTAATTATTAAGGAAATTAAAGTGTTGAACACAATATACAGTTAGTTTGCTTTTCACCCTTTTCACATCTCATCATAGCATTTGTGCGTATGCATTCTTATTTACGATAATATATTTTACGATATAGTCTATTTACGATAGTATATTTACGTAAATATTATGAAAAATGCTGACTGAAAATATGATTTTCATGATTCGCTGCTGTCTTTCTCATGTAATCTATTAACCCTTAGGTGCTAATCGCCACTAATGCAAAATACACAATAATTCTAGACAGTATTTGAAGTAAGGTGTCCAATTTAGTAACAAAGTTTGTTGGCAAGTTACTTATGAAACAACCTCTTCTCTAGCTCGCAAATTCTCTGCGGCCATGCACCACTGTATTGTGTTCAAAACAATCATGACTTAGTCAATTTATAATAATTTATGAAACTCATTTTTATTAGTTTAGTTTTATCAATTATGAAAATTAGAATCCGGGTGGTAGTAAGTTCCATAATGTTTTTGAAGTGTTAACCAATCGTCATTGGCTGCTAATTTATTTTCATTTTCAGGTAGGGATTATGATGTTTCTTGGTTATTTTCTAATATACATTGCGCGATATAACCTAAGTGTACATATACTCGACATGACCCGTGTAACTACTTCGGATATAATAAACATGCAAAATATAAATACAACCACTATTACCAGAACTAGCGAGACAAGACAAGGGGTAGGTAGTTTATTTCTACAATAATTTATTCTTCACCAAGCTCTAAAAAAAAATAATAGAATACTTTGCAGCTCACAGTTGGTGTTTTATTTATGGATGATTGGAAAATTGGCCTTCTATTTAGTGCATATCACGTTGGATACTGTGTTTGTTTCCCTATATTTCACACCGTTGGAGACAGGTCAGTTAGCTTTTGTAGCACTAATAATCCGCCGTGAGCTGCAGTGATATGTCGGAGTTCTTGAGATGTAATATTTTTGAATAGATTTGCAGGGTATTTAATCTTCAGGTTAGTTTTCTTTGTCTATATAATTTTGATGGCAATTTTTATTATTTGAATATTCTATACTTGCGGACACTTAATTCGAGTCACCTCGCATTTTTGTCTTAAAGGGCTAGAGTACAAAAGTAGTGTTATCGTCGAAGAAAAAGATTTCCCTGGTTTTGCAAATCTAAATTTCCAATAAGGATTTATGGAAAAGTCGTTTAGTATACTAGTTTCAAAATTGCTTAATAGTTTTTGATCTATCCAACATTATTTAATTTTAGGCATTTAATACTGAAATGCGAGGTGGCTCGAATTACATGTTCGGGGAGTTTATTATCATGAAGTATTTATTTATTATTCGTATGTAACAAATAACCTATGTTATTTGTTAGTTCCCGATAATATACTCGGGTAGTTCTGGAATAGTTAAACAATAAAAATTGCTACCGAAATTAGGTAGAGACAACTAACCTGAAAATTACCCTGCGCCTATGGTAAACTATTGAAAGTGTCGCTGCCGTTTTCTTTATGCTTTAGGCTGGGACCTACATGGATAGTGGGCATTGCTGGAATGATTTCTGGAATTTCCAATTGCCTAACTCCAGCTGCAGCCCGTTACAAGTTTTGGTTATTGTTTGGAGCTCGAGTCGTGGTAGGATTTTGTGCGGTTAGTAAAATATGTGGTTAAAAACCGACCTTGACAATTCTGTCTTCTTTATCGCAACCAACGTAATCGATGTTTTTAGCGAAATTGAGTTATTAACAATGATCTTGTATACGGAAATATTAATACCTATACCTATCTGGGATCAGTAAAACGAGCTCAACAACCAAATTCAATCGGTTCTTTTTATATCTTATTTGGTTTTTGTTTTATTGTTAAGCAAAATCAACGTAATCGAATGCAAATGCGTTAGTTATGACAAAGAAGAGAGAATTGTTTCGTATTGTATTTTTAATATTGGCGCGTAAGTGCGTCAACAAAACATTTAAATATACCATCTACACCTAGACTTTTAAAACACCTTAACTAATCTCGCTAAAATGATAATGTTTTCAAAGTTTTCGAGCGCTTTAAATACTTAGCAAAACTTTAAAATCACCCCTAACCTAAAAGTCGTTTATCACCATACAAAGGCCTATTCCACTAATCCTTACCAGCTGTCCCCTTGGTGGGGACAAGGGGATATTTTTTTCCACTTTTCCCTACCAAACCGTCACTGGAAGTTCTACGCAAAACTGATATCATGCCATACACTAATGACGTTACATCAATGCCAACATAATAATATGTATATATCTAACCACACGCAGAAAAAAAAAGAACTTACCTTACTAATCAACTCAAATAATATACGCAAAATTACGATATTGTAAATTATTTTTAAATTTGTTGCTTAAATGCCCAATTGTTTCCTGTTCTGTAGTTGAGTGTTTTACACTTTAGCATAATAAGACAAGTAGTGTAACTCCCGTCCTTTTGGCGCGTCAGTGCTTTCACTAAGGTTGTCACATTACTATTTTAGTTCTACTACTACTAATCTGAAGAGATTGTATACATAATTGTTTAAAAAAGTCTTCTTATCTTATCGATGGCACACACTATAATGCCTGCCATGGTGGTAAGTGGATTGGCAAAAAAAATTGGCGTCATTGTTGCTCAGAGATTTTTTATTTTTTATGATACCAAGTGATGGGACAAATAAGTCGTGCGCCTGGCGGAAAGCGATACGCCTGTCCATATCAGTTGCAGTGCCACTCAGAGATTTAAATCGCAAAGATCTAAGGGGTACCGCCACTGCGCCCGTCACCCTGAGACATAAGTTGACAAGCCCCATGTGCCTGTAATTTCGCCCTTACTCTTCAAAACCGGAACGTAATAGTGCTCACATCACTGCTTGGCGGCAGAAATAGACAAGGTATAAGGCAGACTACCCTGGACGAACTCTCTCAAGTTGCGCTGCTTGTTTGCATTGAGTTATTCTACTTGTCTTATTAATCTTATAATACTATGGTTACACCGACAATAACGAGAAGAAGAGAAATAGTTCTTAGAAAATGCAACTTTGTTTTCGGATGTAAATCGCGTATATTTGTTTCTTTTTTCAAATAAACTAACATTTCAGGCCCTTTACGGGTCCCGTCGTTATGGCTGACTAAATACATGATTTTGATCCGAAAGAACTATATATTTTTTATTTGTAACAATCGCGAAAACCTAAAACGAATAATAGCAATAGTTCGTGTTATGTTTAGTTATTTTATATTAAAAAATTACGCCTAGATGACCCAACAACCATGAGTCCTAGAAAAAACCAGGCCGCCACTACTACTATTAATATTAGTTCATACTTACAGGGCGCAATGTCCCCAAGTATGGTACAGCTTTTGCGGCATTGGGTGCCACCTACGGAAAGGCATTATTTCATGTGGGCTTATTGTGGTAAGGCTAGCATCTTATTCGTTTGGACCTCCCAATAAGCATTCACTTAAATTAGGTATTATAATATTAAACCTTTCTTTCAGGCATAACGGCAGGGACATTTTCGACTTTTATTATATGTGCTGCATTGCAATATTATGCTCGTTGGCCTGTGGGTTTTTATTTTACTGGCGGTATACAAGTACTGTGGGCGGCGACATGGCTTATTGTTGTGGCTGACTATCCGCAAAAACATGCTTTTATTCCGAGAGATGAATTAATTTATTTGATTAATACTATAGGGACTACTTTTACTATAAAGGTATGTTAAAAAGTAATATTGTAGTATTTAATGACGATACTTTGTATTCTCGATTTCGAGAAATTTCTTTCTTCTTTTCTGCAGTTGACGAACTCGCAAGCTCCATGGCGGCTCATACTAAAATCTGTTCCTTTTTGGGCTCTGTGTGTGTTAAATTTTGGATACGCTTGGCTAATTACTTCTGTGTGTGTACACGGTCCCATCTATTACACTAGAGTGATACGATATAGTATTTATACCGTGAGTTTGTGAATTATTTTTGAGCTTTTCATACACTTATTTAGCATATTAAATCTTATTACTTTTTATAGGCTTCAGCTTTAACTGCAATGCCATTTTTTCTGCGGTTGGTACTCGGCACGTGCATCCTACAAGTGTTTTATTGGTATAAACACAATGAGCACATAATGAGAGTAAAGCGGCTAAGAAAATATTTCATTGTTGTGTGTAAGTTTGTTGTTATAGTTTATTGTAGTTAGATTACATATTGGAAAAGAAACTATTTTTTTGGATCTAAAGTTTATATTCGTTTTTCTTTTAAAACCAACATTTTGATCCCTTTACAAGTCCCATGGTCACGGCTGACTGGGATGGTGCAGTTATCAAGCAATAATGTCTATATTAATGTAAACCACCTTAATTTAAATACCTTATTTTTAATTTATCAAAGAAACATTTCAATTTGTAGTGACGGTCACGTCTGACCACTATGGGACCTGTAAATAGCCGGAACGTTAGTTTGTTTGAAAAAAACAAATTTACGCGATTTAAATCCTAAAAAATAGTTTATTTACGTAAGAACTCGATATGTCTCTTTTAATAATAATCTTATACCTAGGTTTTAAATATAAATTGCTAAATTGTTTATTAATTATTTAAACTACCTACCTATATACTCAACAAAAACATAATGCTTATTTAAGCATATAATGTAACTGCGTAACCGATAATTGACTTTCTTTATACTGGCACTTAAGGTAAACTTAATTGCAGTATACAACGGATGACTGAGAAAATTACAACATCATCTTCCGTAACACTTCAATAGCTTCGTAGCTTGAACTTGAGTCAATATTGACTTAGATAACCCACTCTCAGGGTAATAAGGCCGCATCTGCAAAATTACAACTTTCCAGGAGAGTTTTATAAGATTCTTCGAACGAAATAATTTAAGTTATATACATCATTTGCTTAATTTAGTTCGTATTATTTTTATGACTTTCATGTGATAGAAGCACTTTTGACGTTTGATCACATGTGGCTTTTTTCAAGGGTAGGTATGTGGTAGTATGGACTGGACAAGTCTATATCTACATATAGCTACATTTAAAAAGAAAATAAATAAATGCATAAAATCGCCTTGCTTTGACATGTGCATGCAAAATACATTACACATAATTGTAAAATATTAAATAATTCCTTCATAAATACAAAAAAATGACATAGGTAATAGAAACAAGAGTAAAATAATAATAATAATGAAAAAAAAAAAATTAAAACAAAAAGCAAAAAAATCATGTCAAAAAGGTCCATGACTCAGGCTCTGGGGATTATGCTAATTACGTAGCCTTCGCTGATATAAAATAGAACACCACAATTAAAAAAAACATATACTAATTTTATTATAATTAAAACTAAATTAAATTTGACACATACAACAACTAGACATGGAAATAATCAAATTGAGTAATAATAACAAAAATAGTAAATTTAAATTGCACAATACCAAATGTACACAAATATGCAGAACAGATATACAAACACAAGCTACTTCGCAAAGCCTGCGTCCCGAGATTGCTTTTCAAACAGCCATAGAAAACATTTTCATTTATGCCCTGTAAAAGTTCAACTTAAGCTAATCTTGTATAAATTTCCTGCAGGGAACCGATTTTGTGGCAGTGCCCCTGAGATCTTTACGATTTAAAGGTCTGAGTGGCACTATGTACAGGAGTGCCGCTTCCTACCAGGTGCACGACTTGTTCGTCCCGTCACTTGGTATATCATAAAAAAAAAGAATTAGTAGGTGCAATTTTACTATATGTAGTCTATTCGACAGCTCACGTATTACCAGGGCTAATTATATGCAGTTTATGGGCTATACCAGTGGTACCCGGGCCTGTCCTTATAACAATTACTGTAGCCTTGACAGCTGCGGGAATGGACCTCACTTTGGATCTCTGTTATGTATGATATCTGTTACGTATGTCCATTTACTATTTTAGTAAAATTTGTAATAAATCAAAAAGTACATTTCAGGAGTTATCGCCAACTTTTTTTAATTCAATATATACAGTTATCAAGATAATCGGAAATGTCCCTGGAATTATAGTGTCGCTCTCAGTAGGATTTGTAACAAGCAAATATAAAGTACGTAGGTATTGTATTAATATTTTTATTTACTGTAAAAACATCGTGTAAACGTCATTAACAGGTAATATGTGTTATCCTGTATAACAATCGTTAAGTATGCCCTAGCGATTATTCCATAAATATAAGAGACATCAAAAAGCTTTAAACTGATATCGAAAGTATGTTTCCTGGTGAATAAATCGACATCAATAACTTTTTAAAATAAAACTAGAAATATCCAAAATTTTAACATTAAACGCTCTCATGTATTTAATTTTCTTACTTACTTACTTTCTTTTAAATTCTTACTGTAAGAGGTAACAATAACTTAACAAATGACGAAATGATACAAATAAAGTAATGAAACTATCTTCTATTTGAATAAAAATATATGGCATAGTCTATTACTTTTTGATATATCTTATATTTATGGAATAATGGCCTGGGTACACTTAATGATTACACCTTGTATGCGTATCTTTGGAAATGAAACTATTTTTTACTTTATTATATGTTTTTGAAAAAAACCTAGGTTTCGGACACTTTTTAATCGCCTTCTTTAAGGCTCTCGACTCGTCTGTATTTTTTGTTGGTGAACCGATTTTGATGATCCTTTTTTGTTGGAAAGAGTGGTCCTCAGTAGTGGTTCCATTAAAATTTGAAAAAATATTCCACCTCTAACGATGGTAAATTACGGGACGAATTCGGTTTGAATTTCACCCACTTTCCGTCAACCGATTGCAACAAAACTACACTTAGATGTAATTCCAATGACAATAAAATCACATTGAAAACAAAAAAACCGACCATAAACGTTTGCTAGACAAACCTTTATGGTCGGGTTTTTTTAATATAAAAAGTTACACCTTTAGTTACAGCAAACGATGTTAGTACGCGTTACATAGGTACCTAATTACTAATTAAAAACATACCTCGTTGCGGTGTAGTAACTAATTAATCATCATCATCAAACCATTTATATGTCCCACTGCTGGGCACGGGTCTCCTTTCAGAAAAGGGTTTAAGGCCATAGCCATCCGCCACGCTGGCCCAATGCGGGTTGGGGACTTTACACGTTTTCCGAGGGTTATGTATGTACGAGAGACATATCTTTGCAGAGGAGTCTATTAATTTATTTTATATGGACATTTATAATTATGATTGGAGTTTCATTCATGTGACTGATATTAATATTAATGAAAAATTTAGTTCATTGATAAGAATATTAACTTATTATATTAATATTCATTTTCCTATTAAAAAAATATCTTTAAAGAGGAATACTATTCCATGGGTGAGTGAAGAACTTAACCACCACATTGCAATGTATAATAATTTCTGCTCAATGAAACACCAATTTCCACATGATAATGTTTTAAATAAATGTCTCCAACATCATTCAAATTTAATAAAATCTATGAGTTTGCGTGATCGTCGTCTATTTAATGATAATAAGATGATGTCTACTAAAACTCGAGTAAGGTAATGTGGCAGATTGTGAACGATGAGGTTTCAACTAGGAATCACCAACAAAACGTTCGACTGACTCACAAGGGAGACATTGTGCCTGATGACTTGATACCTGACTACTTCAATAATTATTTTCTTACAATAACTTCAAAATTACATCTACACAATAATAAAGAAAAATTAATGTCATTTTTAAGAAAATGCGTGGGTGAATGCGATGTTCCTCAGTACAGCCTTCCAACTGTCACTCGTGACTCGTTGGAGGGGGTAGTGAGGGGTATGTGGCATACGTCAAAAACGCTGGACATATACGATATATCTATAAATATATTAGTGTCGGTGTGGCCAGTGATTGGAGACATACTCGTTATTTTAATAAATGAAATGTTTAGAGAAGGTATATATCCTGATATTTTAAAAAGTACTCGTGTATGTCCAGTGTTTAAGGGCAAGGGGGACGTGACCCATGTTGAAAGCCACGAATATATCAAAAATAATAGAATCTATTATATCAACAAGTATTATGGATCATTTCGAAATGAACGATTTGTTATCAGATAGACAATATGCTTATAGGAAAGGTAAATCCACCGTAGTTGCAGCACAAAATATAGTAGATTCTATTATTACCAGTACAGATGATAAGTATGAAACTGCAGGCATTTTTTGTGACCCAACAAAGGCGTTCGATGTAATTGAAAATGATTTATTAATTCAAAAGTTAGCTGTGTATGGCGTCAACGGAGTCGCCCATAACCTATTAAAGTCGTTTTTATCAAACAGACGGCAAACGGTTCAGGTCAGTACAAACGGTACAACAACTAGGTCAGCGGCTGGTGACGTCACCATTGGCATCCCACAGGGATCTGCCCTAGGTAATACACTATTCCTGGCATTCATCAATGATCTGCCATACTTTATATCAGGGGGTCTTGTGGTTCTATTTGCGGACGATACAACCGTTATAGTGTGTGCTAAAACCTACAACGAGTTGGAAGAAAAATTAGCCTGCACGTATGAGCAGCTGTGTGAGTGGTTCTCTGCAAATGGACTTATTCTTAACGAATCAAAGTCAAACCTTATGTTGTTCTCAGGAAGAAATTCTATAACAAAGCCAATTATCACCTCCATTGTTCCATTATGTAACACCTGTAAATTCTTGGGTTTAACGCTAGACTCAAATTTGAACTGGAAGTCACATATACAAACTCTATGTCAAAAACTTGGAAGTGCTGCATACGCACTGAGGAAACTGCGTCCTCTTGTCTCCAATGTGGTATTGAGGCAGACGTATTATGCATATTTTCATTCGTTGATGTCTTATGGCATCACACTGTGGGGTGATTCAACTGAGTCGATTAGGGTATTTATTCTTCAAAAACGTGCACTAAGAACAATAGTAGGCATAAAAAAGGGTCAGACCAGCAGAAACCTTTTTAAGAAATACAATATAATGACCATGTACTCACAATATATTTATGATATAATAGTTTATGCGCGTCAAAACTTGGCTACTTATGAGCGACGTACGGGCGGAGGCCGAGCGTTACGAAACGCGGGAACACTAAAATCCGTTGCCCTCCGTACCGAACTTGCAACTAGAAATCCGCGGGTAATAGGTCCCCGATTCTACGAACATCTACCCACAGACCTGAAAAGTGTTAGAAACGATGAAACGTTTTGTACCCGACTAAAAATCCTTTTATTGGATATTGAATTGTACAGTGTCGATGAGTTTCTTTTGAAACAATTTTAATTTTATTTTATTCGAGAAGCAGTAGTTATACTACTTTATTTTATATTCATTATTATTATTATAATTTTATTACTGACGATCATAGTTATCCCTTGACACTGTATTTCCAATTGTAATATTGTGACATTGATAACATGAAATGAACGATTCTATCCTATTCTATTCTATTCTATTCTATGAACCTTCTTCAACGTGCAGGTTTCGTCACGATGTTTTCCTTTACCAAAAAGGTCATGATATAGATATCATGATATAATTCAAATTGAATTTCGCGTATAAATTCCGAGAAACTCGACCCACGACCCCAGTAGGTCAAACCATTAGGCTACTACATCAAATAATTACTACTATCTAATAATTAACAAAAACAAACATAGACGTTAAAATGGACTTAAAATTGACAGGAAGTGTATTGTTACAATATGGAAGAGTTGAATAGTTCACCAGCTCTTACTCATCACTAGTGCCGACGCGGGCGCTAGCCCATGTAGCGCTCGGGTGCAATCAATACCCTGGCGCTCTTTAGTAGACATGTGATCGAAATGGAGTACTTACAGTTATTTTCCCCATTGATTGACGGAGATTCGGGTGCAAATGTAAAATGATGTTGGGAAGCAATAGCCCGTTTACTTCACTTGCGTTGCGAGTGACGCAGGTTCTTTGGAGGCGAAGCAAGTGGTGCGTCACGCCCCATTAGACCCTACGAGCATAGATCGAAACATTTAAAGAACACTACGCCCAGTTTATTTTTTTGGCCATTTTGGTTATTTTTTTAAACAGCCATATTTATTTATATATTATATATAAATAAATATGTTATATTCAGCTCTCCGAATTTTGTGGAAAAAAATAAATAAAAAATAAAATTTGAAAAAAAAAGCAAAGAAAACGAATTTTGTTAAAAAAGGAACAAAAACAACATGAAAACAGAACAGCTCCAAAAGTTAAGTTGGTGTAGTGTTCATTGGCGGTATCGAGATAATACACTAGGTGCCTATTTATTTGAGTAATCTACGAGTTACGCTCGTGTATACACCACACACCCTACAACTTAAGTAAAGTCGGCACTACACGTCATGTTATAGAAGAATCCATGAAGTCTCTCATACTGTAGTGCTTCACATATCCCATGATAACGGCTCTTTGAAAAAAAATATGCGCGATTTAGATCCGGAACAATAGTTTTATTTCCAAAGTCGGGAAACCCAAAGAACTCGAAATATATTGTATAACTTAATTGTAATAAATACTTACTTGATATTTGTTTTAGGACTATGCGTACGTCTGGAAACATATATGGTGCTTTCATGCCCTAGTGTTATTATTAAGTGGAATATTTTTTTTAATATGTGGTGAAACTACAGTACAATCATGGAATAACGTAAGGGACAGGTAATTGCGTTTCTTTGTGAATAAGGATGACGTTATACTTATTTAGTGTTGGGTCATGGACAAATTTCCATTTTGAAAAAATCATATTTTTCTGAAAAATGAATGTTTTTCCAAAGTTTTTCCACATTTGACAGTGACACCTGTCGAACGTTGAAGATACTGAAATCTAATGAGATTTGTGAAAATGAGCCAAGCAGGGCTTAGAAAATTACGTTGATACGATTTTATTTTATAATTCATGGGAAAAAAGACATTAATATATAGATAGATAATACACTTTATTGCTCACACACAAAAAACAAAAACAGTACATAGACAACTTAAAATTAATGTGGGCAAAGGCGGCCTTATCGCTAAGAGCGATCTCTTCCAGACGTAGTGCACAGTAATAAAAATTTAAATGCATGATGAAAAACTTACACTATCATATTATTATGAACTAATAAGCGACCATAATATTATATACCTACGTATATTTTTCTACACACACATATATATTATGAAGAATTCGAATCATACTTCTCCAATTTTTCACAAATTTTGCTTAAAAATTTCCCCTTTTTGAAATTTTGTGGAAAATTACCCAACGCTAGTTGTATTTATTACATTTTATTTGATTGACTAATTATATGTGTATTAAACATTACTTTATTTGATTTATTAAGGCCTCTTCAATCACGACCAAATCAAAGGCCTCATTACTTATCTAATATAATCGAAGTGGATGAAGACGATAACACGTAAGATGAATATTGATCCCTTCTTTTAATGTCTTTAATGACTTGATTAGATGATCTAGTAACGAACTAGAAGTAAAATTGTGTGCCTACATACATATCGTAATTCGTACATAATAAAATTTATACGATGGTGTACACAATAACATAATAATTATGTAAGTAACACTGTCATGGATAATATTTATTGCTTGCAGGATTCGAACATCCAGTAATCGTAAAAGTAGTTCTATAAATAAAAAGCAAATAACGCCAACTCAACTATAGAAAGAAAAAATAAATTTTTGGTGAATAATTTTGTTTGAATGTATGCTCCACCTTTTTAAAATGGTTCCGCACCATTTCGATACTTTACCTTGCGTTCAGTTCCACGCTTAAGTCAGGCAGCTGTAATCGCTCTCAATAATTCTCATAATTTTTTGTTCTGCTTATAGCATGCTCCAAAAAATATATGACAATAAATGCACGAAAACAAGTGCCTAATCCTTTCCCAATCACTCAACTTATTAGTGCAATCCAAGTTGCAGAAGCTGCATGAGCATGAATCATTTGTCGAAATTGACAATGACATTGACAGCTTGCTGCACGTTTGACGTTTGGTTTGGTTAAGTCGATTTTAGATTTCGTCATTGAAATTATTAAATAATTTCACAAGTGTTACATTTATGGTAATTTACTGAACTCAAGATGCCGCATAGTATCGTGGAATATTATGCCGAACATGAAAGTTATAGGTGTGGTTATTGTAAGAGTCCTGATACAAATTTCAGTCATGGTGAGTGTTTTCCTGGTTATAAATTATCCTTGATATTTCTTCCTGATCGGTTTTATGCAATAACGAGATGTCTGATGCAGGTCTGTGGGCTCACGCGATGTCCGTCGGTGATTATCAGGATTTAATTGACAGAGGTTGGCGGCGATCTGGCAAATACTGCTATAAACCTACAATGGACGTCACTTGTTGTCCCATGTACACTATTCGGTATGCGTAACTTAATTTAAACTAATCGATTTTATACCATTGCGAGTCTTTTGAGTTGTGGAGTTTGTCAATGATTTTGTTTTTAAAGTTACACCTGGTCAGAAGAAAGATTTCACATATTATCAGTTTTAGAACAAAGAAAATATATTGTGCAATAAGCTATGTACTTTAGAAATGTTTACTTAAAATTGTTTTGTACAGTTGTAGGGCTCAGGAATTTAAGTCATCAAAGTCCCAAAAGAAAGTTCTAAAGAGGTTTAACAAATTCCTGTCTGGTGAGGAAATAAATGAGAATCGAGTGGGTGATCCTAGCCGTTCGAGGTCAGCTTGCAGCAGTGAGGTTGAGGGAGAGCTGTTTGAGGAGGGGAGATGCGAGCAGTTTGTGGAAACTAATCGTGGACATAAGAACATAAACTTAGATAGCATTACAAGAACCAATGTTGAAGAATCTAGTTCCAACATAGAGGAAAAACCTAATGGTAATGAATTTAAACAATGCAATAAGATATTATCAGCACTATGACTCATTGTTTTACTAAAAGAAGCAATTTTCTTTCCAGGTTCTAATGATAATTCTTCTGGAATGGAAGTGTCACAAGCTGATAATTCATCTGAAACAAATGTTCAAAAAGACTTTAAGAAAAGTTAGTACAAATTTTATTTACTGAAACTTAAATTATTTTGATATTAACTGAAATCCCTGATATGCCGTCAACCCTATAGCCAAACATAGAATTAACATTTTTCAGTACATCGATGTTATTATTTATCTGCCCTTTTTAACCCTTACAGCACAGAATAATATGATTGCGTGTTCAACTTTGAAAAAATGTAGGTATAATAGTATTCAAGTGTACCATGTCGGATCGATGCCAATTGTTTGTTGTGCGCTCGATTAATATTTGCTGTTAAAGCAGTGCGGCCATGTTCTAGGGTTACACACCTGTGCCGAGACTGACCAAGTGTATGTGTGTGACGGATGGGAGGATGAATAGCAAAATTGTTTAAATTTCATCCATTCGTGTTTTATAACCTGTAATATCGATTCAATATTTTGTCACAGAGCAATCAAGTAAAATAAAGTCATTATTTTGACGTTAATAATGGCATAAGTTACATAGAGCTTTCAGTCTTGCTGCATATCCGCGTCCCGGGAAAAAAGATGCGGTCTTGCAACTACCGGCTTCATCCGGTTCTTCGAGAGGCTAGTGCGAGGGTGACCCGCCCCGGATGCACGTACAGTGCCCTCTCTATTTTCCCCAGATAAGTACCGGAGCTGTAGGTACGCTCACTTCCCGTTGCGCATTGCACAACCACCAGTTGCCACCGCTAAGCCGTCGACTCTGAGTCCACTACCAAATCTCCTCATTGGTGGCGGAGCTATAAGGCACGCTCACTTCCCGACGCCGAAAAACGACGTGTCTCCAGTTCCCAATTGCCTAAGCGGCTGGAGGGTCCGGAGGATATCTAGCTTATCTTCTACTAGCTCTCTGGCAAGTACCGGAGACGCCAGTCGCAGTGTCCTGCGACAATGTCCGGACATAGCTTCCAACTTAAAGGGCAACTCACGTGTCTCGCGCGTCTCCTCGCATACAGGCCCTCAACTAGACCGCTACTAAGACGCGCTAGCTGCTCACGAGACCGACGCCCCGGCCACACCCAACAGTCTGGTTAAAAACTGGTTAAAAACCAGTCGTTTTTAACCAGAGGATTCCGAATTCTCCACAGTCACTTCTATCATCCAGTCTTGGTCGATCTTCTAACAGTACCCGTTCAAGTACCCGTGATGCTCACCAAAGTCGTGGCCGATCATCATCTATTCGAACTATACTTCTGTTCGGGAACGGTCACGATCAGAAAGGCTAAGTCGTTCGGCTGACGCACCGTCATCACATAGATCAAGGAAGTGGACGCAAATGACACGTGATGATTGGGATCAATTATGGTAGGTACCCATCTCGCCCTACGACTGTAACTTGCCGCCCACCCTTTGATTATTTTCTTGAGTATTTTGACGACGAATCGATGAAAAAGATCTCGATTAGTTAGTATTTTGCGTTAATTAATAATTAAGTTCATATTTTATTATATTTCATGTGAAACGTGATAAACTTCAAGTTTCATTAATATAGTTGATTTTGTTGCTTTATAAGTCGCCTTTTATTCAAAATTTTTATTAAGTCATTAAAAAAAAGTAAGGTTCATGACGGGATGACATGATGGTGCGTGGGGGTTTTTGCAAGGGTTTCGGGAGAGGAGATTTTTTTTTGTATTTATTGTTTTTACTAACGACATAAATGCTGAAAAAGATGAAACATCAAATCCAATTACAAAAAATAATTTTCTCGTGCTGACAGTGTGCAAAAATCCTGTGAGACCGGACATTTGAGTGAAGCGGATGATTTTAATAATCCAAACGGTATAAAACTTCTGAGTGCCAATTTTATATGACTTTGGAGAAAACTTCTTCAAATTTCTTAAATATTTGTACTTGAGAGTGTATAAAAATGATTGTAACTCAAAAAAATGTTACTGAATATTTATTATTAACATGATTTAAACAGGCACTCGAAACACTCTTCTCATATATCACAGATATTGCACGGAATTAACAGAATTTTTTTTGTGAGAATAGTATGCATGGTTACCTATGTTTTAAAAATATTTTTGAATGCGGGTAACATGATACAGTTAAGGCAAAATATAACGGCTTTATGGAAATTTTCGATTTTCTGTAGAGACAACTGCACTTTGGAAAAGTGGCAAAGCTGCATAAATAGTGTTTTGAGTGCCTGTTAAATTGATGTTAACAAATATGGCATATTTTTAATTATTTCAGTTTGTACTTTGTAAAATTTCTCCAATTTCTAAATTTTCTAAGTTTTCTCCAAAACTGTATAAAATTGGCATAGATTAACAAAATACATCACTTGCTAAACTTCACCCGAAATGTCCAGTCTGACAGGATTTTTGAACACTGGACTATAATGTATATAAATACGAAGTGTGGACAAAATTTGTGTACCAACTTTCTGTAAAATCCAATAAAAACCAACAATAAATAATAGTCTAGTTGACATTAAAGGCTACGTACTATTTCGACACGATAGAATGAAGGGCACAAGGTGGGGAGATGTCGCTGTTTATGTAACAAATAAGTTTGGATGTGGGGTCACCTGTATAGGCCTATAAAGGTGACCCCACATCCTGCTTGGACTGAAAGTGTGATAATTTCAAAATGTTACCAGCTAGCATCTACCAGTCAACGCATTACACATTAGAGAAAACTGACAGGCTACTACTCGAAACAATTAAAGGGGCTTCTGACGGAAATGTATCGTTGTTAATAGTGGGCGATTTTAATTTCACAGATTTGAAATGGTCATTGTTTGATGTTCCTTGACCTTCCATTTGACATGTATGTAAACAGTAGCCTGTACCAACTTTTAACTAAAGTAACCAGACAGCGAAATAACGGAGAATCACTACTAGATCTCATTCTATGTAATGAAGAAAATTTATGCACAAGAGTTTACACTATCCAAATGTTGGAAAAAGCGATCATCAAGTTCTGGTAGCAACAATACATTACAGAGACAAATTGACCAGTAAATGAACAACCCAACAGCCACGACGAAACTTTTTTTACTGTAAATTATGAAAAAATATTGGAAAGTGCATTAAGCGAGCAAAACATAATAGATACACAAGTTATTAATGTCGATAATGCCTGGAAACATTTTTCACAAAAAACACATGACACTATTGAAAAATACAAATACTTCTAAAAACTAAATATAAAAGACCGAATATCAATAAATCGTGGATTAATCAACAAACTTTAGATGAAGTTGATAACAAAAAGGATCTGTGGAAACAGTATACCCAAAACGGTTCTGAAACTGCATATAAAGCGTACAGGAAGGTTAACAACCAACTTGTAAACAAAGTTCGAATCTTCAGAATGGAGTTTGAAATAGGGAGTGGACCTAAATCATTCTATTCCTACGTACGCCAACAATTGCACTCAACAGTTTCGGTTCCCCCGTTGTTTCTTTTAACAAGTTTTTCTGATAGTAGAAAAATATTACATGTGAGCAAAAGATAACTTATTTGCTCGGCAATTTGAAAAGTCTTTTGTAATAGAACCTTCAAATATGTCAGTCCAACGCAAAAATGCTAAGAGTTGTAAATACAATAGAACTGGTGACGTTCACACCAGAGAAAGTAACTAAAGCTTTAAAAACTTTCAATGACTCTCTGCTATGGGACTAGATGCTTCGCCGTCAATATTGCTAAAAGAATGTAGTAATGTTCTACGTCAGCAGTTAGAGCACATCAGGGATTTATCCCTTATTAATGGACGATTACCACAACAATGGAAAGAGGATCATTTCCTTCCCATGTATGAAAAAGGCGACAAGTACATTGCTGCTAATTACCGCCCTATAAGTTTAACGATAATTGTTTGTAAAACCATGGAGAATTTTATAGCAGCTGAGCTGAGAAGTTTCATTACTGTAGAAAACATTATTATTGATGAGTAGCATGGCTTCGTACCAATTAGATTCATAGTTACAAATCTTCTCATGTGCCTTGACATACTGACTTATAACTGGGATAAGCACCACCCTACTGATGTGAAATAACTAGACTATGAGAAGGCATTTGATGGAGTCCCTATTAAAAGGCTGATAGCGACACTCTGTCACTTTGGAATCCCTGGACAACTCCTGCAGTGAATCCAAAATTCCTAAGTAATAGAAAATTCAAAGTAAGTCTAGGAGATACCCTGTCAGATGACTTTGACGTTCATAGTGGCGTCTCACAAAAATCCGTTCTTGTGCCAATTTTGTTTGGTATCTTCATCAAGGACTTTCTCATTCAGTCAGACCCGTCGATATTTGCGGATGGTACCAAACTTACAGGAAATTCCTTGTACCATGTACAAAAGACTGTCTTATCTCCACTGACTGCTACAAAGTGTACATATTTACATATAGGAAATAGTAATCCAAAACTAAAATATACTGTGGATAACGTACCTCTTCTGGCTGTTAATGCCCAAAAAGACCTTGATGTTACAATAACCTATAACCTTAAATGGGATTTACACATCATAACCACAACCAAAAGAGCTAAATCTATGATGTACATGATTAGAAAAGCATTTCACAGTATTACCAAGGAGTTATTTATCCAAATATACAAAACCTATATATATAATATACACGACCAAATTTGAAACGCTATAAGGTATCTATATATCTATCCATTGCTGAAATATGCTTTTCAAATTTGGTGCCCCTATTTTAAAAAAGATATTTTTATGTTGGAGAAGGTTCAGAGCAGATCAACAAAAAAACAACTCCTAAAAAACAAATCTTACGAAGAACGCCTCCAAGAACTAAAATTAACTAGTTTGGATCAACGAAGGAAATGAGGAGATCTCTTAGAGACTTACAAAATACTCAATTACTCAATGGGTACTACCATGCGCATAACAAAAATAATATTAGAAGCCCTGTACCGCGGGCAGAGAATAAAAAAGTAAAGAGAATGGACACTCACCGCTCCTCTCTAGCTTTAGATACCGCACCATGCCCCGCTTATTGACCGTCACATTGACTGAACGACAACAAGGCTGTCGGCGAGCCGTTTTCGCGCTTAGACGGCTTTGATATTTGAATATAGTTTTCATTTATTCAATAAGAAGAATAATAAGAATAATGTTTATTGACATCACAAACACACAGAAATACAAAATACTTTACATATTTTCATTTTTAAAACAAGAACATGATACTTATGCTAAATGAACATTAAGTGTGTGTTAGACATTAACAAAAACATGCATTGTTAACGTGATGCCAAGCCTGAAAACATTGTGAGTCATTACAGGTGGTCCCACACTAGGCTAAGCCTGTCCTGTGGCGACCTTTTTACGGCTTCAATTTACTCGTTACGTTACCTACGATTATATTACACAAATAATAAGAACTTAATCTATTAAATCTAACATAAGAATAGGAATTATTATAGTATTCATTTCGGAACTTGTACGTTAATATATACCTAACATCATTGTACGTTACTATTTATAATGATCGTGAATTGTGCTGTGTTCGGCTGTTTAGCATCATCTAAACAGGATAAAGAGAGGAGTTTCTTTCGTTTTCTGCAAGATGAAACGAAAAAAAACTTATATCTGAGACTCATTCAATTATTGTTTTCTTAATTTATTTAGTGCAGAGTAATATATAATACAGATTTATTATATCAATATAATGAGACGCCATAACTTCGTGAGCTTACAGACAAGGATTCTTGAATTTTCAATTTCTATTGCCGATAAATATTACGTAGTGAATATACCTAATTGTTCACTAGGTAATGATAAATTTGGACACGCAATTTCAAGTACCTTGTCTACCTTATTTAAAAGTATCTGTCCAAAATATAACATTTTCAGTGCTTTTAATATATTTTTTATACAAATCTCCAATATTACTGTAGTTAGTAAATCAATGAAAAATTTAATATTACCTAATTAATATGTGTAATTATTAGGATTCTATTAATAGAATTATAGATAACAGAGTAGCGTTATAATTTTCGCTGTTGCCGCTCTGACCACGTGATGTAATAGTACGAGAAGTGATGGATAACCCTGCCACTTCACGCACACATTTGCGCGTGTGCAGATAGCGTCGTGTTGTATGTAGTAGTAGTAGGTAAATAACTTTCGACCGTTGTATGGAGTGTCCGGAGTGTGCTGCGGGTGTCATGGACATACAGACAACCACAAATTACACCCAAACTCACGAGAGAAATAAATGTAGGCCATACAAATATTTCTCCCGGGCCGGGAATCGAACCCGGGACCTCTGCGTGGTAGGCCAGCATGGTAACCGTTCGGCCACAGAGGCAGTTAAGCAGCCGTAACATGAAGGAAATGTACCTAATGAATCGCAACTGCTAATTGTGAGGTCACTCTCTGAAGCTAACCAAGCCTCCATAAACCAAACCTCACAAACAGTAATTAGTGCTCCGACAGTGGATAGTTTCAAAGCTGCACTTGATAAACATTTTGAAAACTAACAATATACAAGTGCAGGATATATACGTATCAACTCGTAGAGTTGCTGGTGTATTAATTAAATAATAATGATAAAAATATATTGTAGTTACAGAACTAGATCCCACCAAGTCTCCGTGCAAAAAAGCCAAACAACTGAGACGTGAGAGGAAATTTGAAAAACTTAAAGAGAAGGGTGTTGATATTACCACGCTTAGCAACACTAACAAAAACAAGGAAAAACAACTTGAGGACTTTTTAAATGAACTGCCAAAAGAATATCAACAAAGACTCGAGGTACAGTAAAAAATATTGAGACATGTAATGTTCTTGCTTAATTTGCTAATTTACAGGTAACAGCTATTAATCTTTCTAATGGCTTTTATGTCTCATGGTTCACAGCGATGTACGTGTAGTTATTGTTTGTTTTTCCAGATAAAACTAGTCAGAACTGCACCTCCGAGCCCTGAGTGGTTAGCAACAGCCAAAGAAACCCATGAAATATATGTTAAGTACCAAACAGTCATTCATGATGATAAACCGGAAAAATGTACAGAACACAAGTTCAGAGAGTTCTTAGTACACAGCCCACTATTGGTAAGCATCAAGTTTTTGTTGAATAAATGGTGTTACATGTTTTTATAAAATGGGTTTTTACTTTTAGACTCATGTCCTCCAGTTGGTTACGGGCTTGTGACTTTATGTGCCTTTAAAGTACAACCCTTCTCAGACTGCCTGTTTTCTCACAGCTATTTTCATATTCTGAATAAAGGCAAAAATTCATTTAACTGCTTTAAGCTTATTTTATATAACTATTCAGAAAACAATTTCTGCAGGAGATACACAGTGAAACTGGTCCCATGTGTGGCTACGGGTCTTTTCATCAACAATATGTGCTGGATGGCAAAATTATTGCCGTCGGTGTCATTGACATCCTGCCCAAATGCGTGTCTTCTGTTTACTTCTTTTATGATCCGCAGTATAGGAACTTGACTTTGGGAACTTATGGCGCCCTCAGGTAAGATGCATTTATTATTATTTACTGACTTTTCCCTGACACGGATGTATAGTGTATTATAGTTTGTTACGTACACTAAACCCACGAAACCGACAGTCATTCGACTGGCGTGCGAATACAATGATTAACAATGGAAATGCCAATAAAAACCTTTAATACGATTGATGCGCATGCGCAGCTGATAACCTTCGACGCTACACCTCATAGGAAATGGATTTTTCTTGAACCTGATTAACTTTTTGTTTACTTTGTTACAGGGAGATAGCGTTTACAAGACACTTGAGTCAAATATGCCCAGAGTTAAAGTATTACTACATGGGATTTTACATCCACTCCTGCCGCAAGATGAGGTACAAAGGCAACTTCTATCCTTCAGATTTGCTTTGCCCTGAGACTTACAAGTGGGTCCCTCTTGAGGACTGCATACCAAAGCTTGAAGCTTCACCTTATACTAGATTAGATCCGGACATAGACAACGTCGACACAAATTATCCTAGGGAAGGGGATATTAATTACATACCAGTGTTGGTTAAGGGGGTAGTGTTGCCATACAAGGCGTACAAAAGAAAGTATGCTAATAAGAAAAGAGAAAATGATGAAGAGTTGATGGAGTACGCACGCTTAGTTGGTGCTAAGACAATTAAAAGTTTGATATTAGTTAGATAAACTTAAATATGTTTTTTAGTGTATGTTAGAATTTGTTCCCTCCTAATTACCTTTGCATTGTATATCCCACCTTGAAGCAATGTGATTTGTAGTCAACTATGACCCGTGCTGTGTACTTAATAATACGTAACTTTAGTTATACTAGTCACATATTCTGTTGCTTAAATGCTTTGCTATAGACTTAATTTTACTTAAATACCATTTTTACGTCTTAAGTATCATAATGTTTTTATTGATAAAATTACGTAATGTGTGAATTTGTATATGAAATAAAATAACATTAATTGACTCAAGACCTCATTTCAAGGACATCAGTTAATTTACTAAATAGTAACAGAAATAGA